GCTGTCGAGCAGATGTTGCACGCTCACAGGGTGCCCAAGGGGGGTCTGGAATGGGTTTTGCTGGATCGTATAAAATTCGTAGAGCCTTCCAGCTTCCGGCGACTGTCTGGGGTCTGAAATGGGCGGGTCCAAGCCCCCCCACCCACAAACTGAGGGGATCAAAAAGGCTGCGTGTGAGTGATTGGTCAACAGTCTCGATCACGATGACACTGCCGAAGTTTTGACTGCTCCCACCCACCCTCCCGGGTGCAGTCTTTTTCTGGGCCCCAGTTTGGGGACAGCGGTTCGCAACCACGCTGGCTCATCGAAGCAAGTTCAGCTCGCAGGCAAAAAGGCTGAGTGTGAGTGATTGACTAGTCATGGCATTCCCGCGTCTTTAGTCTCAAAAATTGGGAACATGCTTGGACACGCACAAATCGCTTCGATTGAGCATGCCGCGATACATACTTGTGCTACTTATGCATTCTTAACTCATCTCAAGGTAGGGTTGCCAGAAGAAGACAGATGCTCGGTCTTTGGTGCTTTCCCAATTTCCAAAGGACCCTAAGAGGGTCGAAGTTCGGCAGAAATTCGGCCAAGCAGCCTCAAGCAGTCATCTTGTATACACACTTGGAAGAGGTATTACGTGCCAGCTTTGCAGCAATACTTCTCCTCCCAAATTGCAGAGCTGGATGCTTACGGAGTTTGCTGCCTCACATATACTTCCACAGACTCGGATCGCGTCCAGGGCATACCAGTCGAGACGAAGAGTGAAAATGCTTTTCCGCAATTATGGACGTTGCCGTCAATTACTTCGCAATGCCAAAGCCAGAGGCTGAGCCCGGCAGGCGCAGCAACCCACTCGAGCACCGGGTGCATGCAGCTTCGTGTTGGTGGCCATGTGGACTCATTTAAGGTGCCGTGCCAGATCTGCGTTGCGACAGACCATGAGTCTGGAACCTGACGCCTCTTCAATAGTTTGTCGCGCCACAAGCACCACTCACTTGTACCTGAGGTGCTTTTATGTGTCCATGGCGGCTGACTACCAGCTCTTTCTGTCAGTTCCCAGGGGAATCTCAACTGGAGTGATTGCTCAGCTTGGCCCTCAGTTGTTCATGCCTTATAACCCCATTGTACTGATTTGCTAGACTGAGGTTCTACCATTGGGTACGAAGCCAGGAGTCTCACCTCTTCCTACAGATCCCTGCTTGGTAACTGACAGCATGCAGTTCGATTGTTACGTGATCACACTCTTCTTTGGCGCAGTCATCCTGACCCAGTGCTCATGCCTTGAAAACGTGTGCGAGTTTCTGTGTCTGCCGTGCAGTGCACGCGGCAGATCGGTTTTACCACAAGTTTTCGAAGTGGCGTGACTGGCTCACTGGGAAAGATGCGAATTGCCTCATGGTCGTCAGCTGTTGCAAATCACATGTTTCCTTGACTTCCTGCTCCGCACTTTGAAAGCACTGCAGCGTCTCAGAGGCCCGTGACAAGGTTTTAGAGGTCCCTTGGAGAGGTTTTAGAGGATGGTGGGGGAGACGTTTCAGAGGACCCTTGTGGTTTTAGGAGAGCCGAACATAAGTTTCGCGACTTGCGAATCTGTTGTGCCTGCCGCTTGTAATCCGCGCGGCGTCCGTGTCACGTGTCTGCGTTCAGGTTCGCGGGCTCTTATCAGGTTGCGTGTTTATGGGCGTCATTGAGTGTTTGCCCACTTGCTTGCTTTCCTGTACGCTGAGGCAAGCCGTAGCTGCAACACTTTCCTTTTCGGCTCGAAACAAAGATGCGAAGGATAAGATGACGCTTGTTGACGAGGGCCAATGCCGCCCAAAAATGGCATCAAGTCAAGCCACTTGCTGGCACAAGAGATTGCTTCGCATGTTGGATTCATGTGAAAGGAGGTGCAGCAGGTTTTCTGCTGTCCTCTGCTGTCTTGAGGTGAGTCGCAAAAAAGATGGGTGCCAGTTTCCGCCGGCGCCAACAAAAGCAAGGCCACCGAGGCAGACCTGGTCTCTTGAGTAGATGGTGTACGCTCACTCATACTTTGTTGTCAAATGGCCAGGCAGACACAACATGGTATGATTGTCATTTCGAAGCGGCCAGTGGAGGGTTGGTATCTCTCTTTTTGTTTAAGCTCACTTTCGTAGGTGTGGGTCAGGAGGCCTGGACATAGCTCCAGGTGGTTCATAATGTATCATATGGCTGAGCAGGGCTTTCGCAATGCCCAGAAATGCCATGGTTGAGATGGATTGGAGACAGACATTCTGTCCACACTGCTGGCAATCCTGTTTTTGACCAAATGCTTCGTGGCAAATTCCGGTGTCTTCCATGTAGCTTGAATCAGGTTGGAGACTGCCGTACACTTGTTTTGAACCTCTTGTGAATGGAAGCAGGAACAGCTGGACAACCATACATGCGCCAGGACTGCGTGATACTGCGCGGCTGGATTGACGCGCAATTCTTGCCTGGCCAACTTTGGAGCAACAGAGAAAACAATTCGCAAGCACACAACTTGACGTGATGGTGGCAGAGGGCAAGGTCTGGCAGAAGGCCACGTTGCTGATAGCAAAAGATGTTTCTTTTACATTGTCCGTTGGTCGAAGCTTCGTTAGCCCTCATATTACCATGTACTGCCCAGCAAGCCTGGACCCTTCCTGATGGAGGGTCCGCTGTTTGTTCCCGCCGCACTTAATGCGCAGTATCCAAGACCAGTCGTTCGGCAATCTCAATTTAAGAAAGCATAACTAGAAGAGAGAATATAAGAACAAGGCGAAGGCAGCTACACAGAAATGTTGAACATCAAGCCACTTATTTGGCAAGTCATTCGCTTCTGTTTGCCCAAAATCCAGCAGAACCAAGGGTAGCCCAATGCTTAGAGTCCAAGATGAAACCCGGGTAGGCAGGGACCAACATGCACCTCAACGACACAAAGTGTCATACCCCATTCGGATGATCAAGAGGAAGCACCACCAAAACAGTTCGTACAAGACCTATGAGAATAGAGTTGCCAAATTGCCGTGGGCTTTCATCCGCTTGAAAGAGAGAGCGAGTAATACATTTCATGGACAGACATAGTCTGGACATTCTATTCCTGCAGGAACGAGCATTTGGAATTCTCATGAAAGGCACGATGACTGCGCCATGTGTTGCTTCACAGGAGTACTTGAGAATGCCAGGAAAGCATGCAAGAAGCATAGCAAGCAAGGCACCTGAGCATTGTTTCCACCTGCGCTCTGCAAGCACGTGCAACTGAAGACAGGGCGTAGGAAAAGCACTAAGATGAATTCTCGGGACAACATACAATGTCTCCCCCAAAATCACAGCAGGAGACTTCATTGCTAGGATGATCAAGGCCATGCCCCAGAAACTTCAGTTACCTGTCCCTACACATTGGCTTTATGTCATAAAGTGACATGCAAAACAGGTCAAGATCCATGGAGTTTTGTTGCCGGCGCGGGATGGTTACAAAAACATATTCATGACCCGTCGAACAGCTGGTCACGTATAATACAGTCATATCAACAAGCCGCCTAGGACAAATCAGCTACTTGCTTTTTGTTTTGGGACATGGCCTGGGGATTTTCAGTGCTGACACAGCGCTCGTTTAATTTAAGTGGTGCTGAAAACAACCCAAAATATGACTACCGTGCTCCTTTTGCATATTTTCTACGAAACAACTTCCAAATTAAAATCCATTATACTTCCCAAGGGATTCCGCTGTTGTACTTGCGGAAGGCTTTCTGTAGGACATCTCCTGAGCTAGTGTACATGTGCCCGCATAGCTCCTTTCCAGGTACCGATCTTGCAATCAAAACGAAACATCATGTCCCCTATGCTTTCGTTTGAAAGCCTGTGCAACGAGCATAGGTAAATGCCAAACATAGAGCAAACATGTATTTCTCTCCAAACTAAAAGCAGAGAAAAATTGCTGATGCCACCAACGAATATGGATGTCTTCAGTGGCACTAGAAAGACAGGAACTTTGTCGAAAGTTGCACTGGGCATTTTTGTTTCGCGAAGAGGAGCAGGACTGGTTGTCAATTGCACAATACTTGATCAAGAAAACCGTGTTCGAATCAGAACGTGTGTTCCTGCTCTGCCTCCGCGTCAGAGGCTTCCGTGCCTGTTCCAGAAGAGCTGCCAAAAGCTGCTGCCAAACGCAAGCAGCGGCCAAAGCAGAAGGCAAAACAGAAGCCGAAGAGCCTTTCGACAGCTGAGGTGCCAAAGCTTATTGTGTGGCTGCTTTATTGCTTTTTGTTTCGTCCAGGTGCGGAGACAATGTCCTGGTGACAAGGCGGTTGCTTTGTAGCTATGCCAGGATTGAGACTAGTATAGTTTGTTTGCTGGCAAGTTTGAGTACAGGAGCATCAAGGCTCCAATACGCGTGACGCAGGTGCCTTTGGGTGGTGGGAGGGAGATGTTGTCCCATTGCCTGAAGCAGCATCACTTCATTCTGGTACAGGAACGACTTCGCCTTCCCAGGAACCCCCTGTTTACGACTCAGCTCAGCATTTTTAGTGTGAATGATTGGATGACATTGTCGTCAAGGATAAGGACTTGCCGAGTGAGGAGGTGCCTGACCAGTCCGCTCCCCAGCATCTGCGGCAGAAGCAAAGGGTTCTTTTTTCGAATTATGGCAGGCGACTGCAGATGACCCCTGCAGATGCCCGAGATGGGCTGAAGTTAGCAGAAGATGCTGATGATCAGTCCAGCTCGGAAGATACCACAGGCCCTGATGGCGGTAAGATGCGTGTTGTAACAAGTACTTTGCCCCCGTCTTTGGCCTGTCCAGCATCTCATGCCAAACCTCAATGGTGCCGAAAATGGTATCTCAAATAGAAGATAGATAGCACTTTCAGTGCAGAGGTTCAGGGTTCATTCTGTGGTATTTCCTTACTGCCGGCAGCAAAGATGTTTTGAAGAAAGGAGACTTCGCTGTGCAACTCCGTAAGGACCGGGCATTCTCACTGCTGCATCCTTTGTGCTCCGGAGGCTGTGAAGTGGCGGCTGAAGCAGCTGCTGCCATGGCGGCATCCCATGCAGGCACTGGCCTCCCTCAGGCGAAGCAGAGAAAGCTGCAGCACCTGAGATCACCTGAGGATGTGCAGCGAAGGCAGTTCTCACACCCAAGTTTTCACCAGGCAGACATTTCTGGGGTCACAGTTGTCAACGTCCCATGCCCCAGCTGTGGTCCATGCAGCTGCTTACATGTGATGTCCTTCTATCGCCTGCACTATGTTGAGGTCGAAGCTATTTCTCTTCGGTTATTTCGAAACTTCTATGCGCAGCGAATTGACGTTCAGGCAGAATCTTTTGCAGAACTCACTCGGAAGTCATGTCTCCTAGTTCGTCTTGTTCGGAGCTAGTTTTAGTCCTTGCAACAGGACTTTGTGGCCCTCATGCGACGATTTTCACACGAGAATGACAGCCAGCTGTCCCAGCCTTATACCAACAACCTCGAGACTTCTCCACCTTGCATTGGTTTGTCGACGTGTGGTGAGTGCCAGAGGATTTATGATCATCTGATGCTGGCTATAGGTTCAATTGAAGGGTAGAAACAGCAAGCAATCCGGCTGTGCACAAGCTGGCTGTTTCCTTCAAATGCCCAGTGTCCGACCTTACGCAGTTTTGGTCCCACAGATTCGGCAGTCTTGATAATCATATGAAGTAGGGTTTCCATTATGGTTGTTGGCATGTGTACATGATATAGGGTTCCTTGGGAAAATTGGTGAGTGTTTATAGTTGGTGTTCAATTCAGGGGACCACAAACGAAAACCACCGGTCATGTGCCGTTTTGAATGTGCATTTGAAGAGACTTTTGGAGCAGCTTGAGGCGGCGAATCCATCAAACAGTGATTGCACTTCTGATGGGGATTTTTCAATCCCTGCCACATTGGCCAGAAAAGGAGCCGGCCTCCCAGGTGGCGATTGAAATGTCTGTCAGAATCTGGAAGGATGAAGCTGCGGTCTGTCAAAGGCTGTTGAGGACTGCGGAGCTTCTGGGGCAACTCATCCGCTCTGTGCTCAGCTACCCAACCAATCCAACCCCAATGCTGCAACCCAGACTCAGCTTCCTCAGCTCCCTCAGCTTCTGGTCCGGACGCTGCTGCTTGCTTCTTGAGGTTGGGACTTGATTCCTGATGGTGGTCCGTTGCAAAGAGCGTTGCCGGGGGCTTTGAACCAACCTTGCTCTGCTCAAGCTCTGCACAACTGCCAAACAGTGCACGCAGTCGGTTCCAACTGCAAATTCTACTTCATGGTTCCATGTAAAGTGTCTTGAATGGCTGCTCAGGTGTTGCATGCTGCATGCCTTCAGAGAGCCGGCAAACAGCCTGCTGTACAGGCGGCACGTGAATTTTCGAGCTTGCTTTCGCTTACAGCTTGTAAGCACGAAGTTTAGCTTTGCAGACCTGGTAGGTTTGGGCACCGCCTGCTCGAGCAATTCAGGTGCACATCCAGATAGCTCTCAATGCTGGTTGTTTCGGTTGAAGTGTCAGACCAAGACGTAACAAGAACATAAGTATAGTAAACATCAACAGCGTAAGAGTACACATGCCCACGAATTCATCCTGCAGCAGTTTTTGGGGCCTGCTGCTGCTACATCCCCGAATGCAGAGAATGCGGAAATCTTTCGAAAAGAAAGGGACAGGGGAGACACAGGTCAGATTTGGCTTGAAAGGGGGGACGGGGGCAGGGAGGACCTGGCAAGGCCAGAGCCAGCCCAAAACAGAAACGGGCTGGGGAGGAATTTGTGCGCCAAAATGCTTGTGAGGCAAACTGGAGGCATCGTCGAATTCTTTCTATAAACCGCCACTGTTCCTCAAAGAGAAATCGAAGAAAGATCGCACAGGCCTTCGTTTTGTCTAAGAAGGGTTGTAAACATGCATCAGGTCCTTTTCTTGTAGATGAGAGATACCACGAGTCCTTTAGGCGTGACAGCTTGTGTAAGATGCAGGTTAACGCTCCAAAAGCTCAACACGTTAAACTGAAGCCTGAATCAGCTTGGCCGACGGGCTTCATACGATTTTTATGAGAAGCTTTTGGATGAGGTTGCGAAAAGTAACAGCCAACAGGCCCTGCCAAGAAAGTCCTGGACGGGAGAAATTCCAGGCTCAGACCTGCCCATGGCCTTATCCATCAGGCCACTGGGTCATCTCAAGAATGCTTGATTCAATGACTAGTGAGCTTTGGGCCGGGGCCTCATTGAGCCAAAACGTTCCTGTTGTTGAAAATCAAAGGAGCGCAGGCTGTACTCTGCTCAGGGGTCCTTGCGTCATCTCGGCCTTTTGGCTTTGGACCCTAAAAGCCGTAAAGGAATGATCCCGATCGCTGTGAATGTCAAGTTCTCGTATTTCACAGTTTTGGATGCCCATGTTGATGCCCATGGGTCATGAAGATGTTCATGATGTGACCCGAAAAGAAGGCCTTTTTCGGCCCGCCATGGGTTGTCAATTTGTGATGCCTCACAGCATGAATTTGCCCTGCGATGTTTACCTGGGCAATCATGTTGTACTTGCTCATCTCATACAACTCGTTCATATTATGCTGGGGTTTGCAGGGCATGCCATGTCTTCCCCTTCAAAAGAGGGATGACGGAGAGGATCCTGAAGGAGGCAAAGGATGTCTGATTTGGCTGGAAGTGAAGGGTCGGACAAAGGGGGTCGGGGCCAAAACGGGTGTCCTTAGAAGCGGGAAGGGAAGGGCCGAGCTGCCGGCTCCAAGTGGCCTGACACCTCCGGAAAATGTTGGGTTGCGCGTGCCATGCTATGGAGCTCCTTCGGTGCTTTCCTTTGAGTCCGGTGACCTGTCGGTGCGGCGCCCCCAGGATACCGCATCCTCTGTTAGTCTTGTGTGCTGGTCGCAGTTGACTGCGCATGCGCTTCGGCAGAAGGAAAGCTCTCTTGCGGTGCCCCGGCTCCGCTGCTTGGAGGAAAAGTGAAGATAGTAATGAGCTTGAGGATGTGAAATGAGGCTCTCTTTGACGGCTCGTTGCGGCCTTTTATTTTGGCGGAGTGCACTGCCCTGCATTTGGACTTTGCCCAAATCTACCCAGCTGGACTTGCGGATGCGCTTCCTCTCAGTGTTTGCCATGCCGCTTCACCTGCACCAAGCTTGGCTGCATTTTCTTGGCGGCGAAGCCAAGAACCCCGGACTAGGGGTGCCTCCCGTGCCCCGAACTCGTGAGGAGATCTCAAATCGTGGTCCGTTCAGAGTGCTGCCTCCTGCTTCAACACACAACTTCGGGTACACAACAGTTGGGCATCAGCTCGCTTAGAGGCTCTCTCTCACTTGCGTGGGAACTCTTAACTGGATGGAAATAGCAGGAACCGCTTGTGCATCGCGCACCTTTGCCACAGCTAGAAATCTGGCCTGACCCTATGGTATTTGTGAACGCTATCGCGCACCCGCCTCGGCTGGTGATTTGCGCAGACACAAGCTTTTGTTGAAGCATGCCTACATGTGGGGGCGGTGGGTGTCTATCACCGGCCCGTGCTGCCAATGTCTCAAGCCTTGGAATTTCATTGTTGATGGTGGGGCTTCACTTGCTTGCCCGCCACTGGAAGGGAGACGTGGAAGGGTTGTGTGTGGCCAGTGAGGGGGAGTAGAGTGGGTTTTAAATGGTTCCAGATGCCCTCAGGCTGGACCAGCCTGCGAATTATGGTAGTACAGTCTACCAAGGTCATGCAAGATTTTTAGTGTTGATAGGGGAGGTGTTACAGTGCGAATTGGAACACTTGGTCTTGCCTGAAGACTTTTTCACATGTTTGGTGCCGTGCTTTTTACACTTGGATTCTTCCAAGACTGCCTTGCATTCAAGCGCTCGTGCAGAGCTGACCCACCAGCCCAGCTTTTAGCCTAAGGCTTGAACTTTTGATCGGAGGAGGAAATAAATCAATCCTGATAGTTGTGTCTCGGTCATTCTTGGCCTTACCAACATGTTTGCATGAGTTTCGTAGTCCTACACATTGCAGTTCAGACAGTTGGTGGAGATTGCCGCCCTACCTAGCCACTTTTTCTTGGGAGGAGTGGACCCCGCAGCAGTTCATGAACCCTAAATCCGGCAGCTTGAGAGCAATTGTAGGGTATCAAGCCTTGGGCCCCTCCTCCCCAAGCTTGAACCTGAGCAAGCGAGACCTTCAAAAGCGTCAGATCCAGTGTTTAGTAAGGATTAGCAAGCCCAGCCTGAAGAAGAGAGGACCACTCACGCATGCAGCCTAAAGAACGAAACGATTCTATGATCCTCAACCAATTCTTTCAAAAACCCGCAACCATCTAGTGACCTCAACAGAGCGAGATCTGTGGGACAAACCCAGCAGCCTAGTTCAAACTAGTGTGTTGCGTGTGGTGCCTGCTTGTTGACCCGAGGGGCAGGCTTGCCGAATCCGAAGTGGGTCTAGCGTGCTCCACTTAACATTTGCAGTGGGTTGCCAAGAGTACCGCTGAGTGGTCCAGAAATGCAATTTTGCTGCAAGTTAGGCTGACCCGGCACATCGTTCAACCAAGCCTCCGCCACGAGGAATTGCCAAGTAGTGCATCAAGAGTTTGTTTTCAGGTTTTCAGATCTCATCTAAATTAGGCACTTTGTCTCAGGAGGAGGAACGCAGGGAGGCAGCATGCATACGTCAGGAGTGTTTAGGTGTTTGTAATCCGTATGTGGATGTCTACTGCCAGGATAGGCGCCCATCGGCTTTGCTCCTCAACTGCACGGCATAGCGGCATAACAAATCACACGAAGAAATCTTCACCCAACGGGAACCATGCAGGCCACAAGCCGCTCAAGCGGCTGGTCTCCGTTGGCATCTGGGTTGAACAAGGACCAGGAATGCATGCATAGATTTAGTGAAGTTAGGTCTCGTTGAGCTAAATGCATTGCTTTGTAAGTGGAATGCAGCCTATGGGCCTAGGCACCTGCCATCCAACGGTCTCCAGTTACTTCGTACGCAGGTTCCATTACAGGCTGGGCGAATGCTGCTGGTGTTGCTGCTTTTGCTCGAATTTCTGAAGTCTTCCCTCCCCCACTCGCTAGACAGGTTTCTGGAACCCCACTTGCTAGCGTGCCAAGTACAGCGCCACGAGCGCAAGGCGAGACTTGGACCCCGGTGGTACAATCTTTTTATGCCCATAAAAAAAGTGCTTTGTAGGTACGCAAGCATCAGGCGTTACGTGGATGCCGCAGCCTGAGTTTCTGCCAGGAAGACTTGAATAGGCTTGGTGTTCACTTGGAGCCTTGTCATTGCAACAAGCTGGCGGCCCAGGTTTGGCGGCGTCGCCAAGGCTGTCCATTTTGCACCTGCCAACCTGCAAACGAAGCTGCTGACAGTTATCGCTTTTGAACACCAGGCAGCTCCACGTCAAGCCAAGCAAGGCAGACCTTGTCAGCAACTCTGGTGGGAAGAGGGGTTCTGCGTGCACAGACGGTGTCTTTCACCAGCAATTGACACATCAATCTTTGGGTAGTCAGCCCGCTCGCTGCCATGACGCCTTACAGTACTGTCAGAGGAAGCGGAGCCTGTCAAGTAGGTTAAGCTTCCTGCCTGCTGCATTGTTGAATGCCACGTTGGCAGTACATAAGCTTTTGATTCGGGTTCGGCCACGTCTCATGTTTTTGCTGCGACTCATTCTAAGAGTTTGCAGGTGCAATGGCATCCTCAGAGGAGAGCCGAATTGCAAATTTGCGAACTGGTTTTCTGCTTTAGATCCCAGACATGCCTGTCTTGAGGAAAAGCGAGATCGAGGCGCCGGTGTGAGCTGTGTGCTTCATTATTCTACTTGGTTCGCTGCGCTGCAGGCAAGCAGAACAAGCGTAGTTCTGCTGCTCCCTGAGGGAAGATTTGGATTGGCGTGTTTTCCCTATTTAGCCAAGAAAACGAGGCAAAGAAAAAGAATGCTGCCAACCAAGACCAGCGCGGGCGGCTCAGAAAAGCTTGGGATCCACACCCCTTCTCACCTTCTAGTTCTGCTCAAGGCACGTCCTGGCCAGCCTTCATTGAGGTAATGGTGTAAACGTCGTGTCGTGGTTCTGCTTTCTTCAAATCACGATCGAGCATGAAAGGTAGAACTCGATACCATGAAGTTCTGCCTGACTGACGAGGATGTGCAGGTAAAGGCCTCGGCAGCCTGCAATGTGTTTCAGATGCTGCGCTTGCTGTGTAAGTTTAATGATCCCACAGCCATGAGGGTGCAAGGGCTCGTTCGGCAGCCTTTCCTGATTTGTATGCAGTGTGTTTGGAGTCGAGGTGTGCAACAGAGAAGCTGATTCAGTCCATGATGCTCCCAACTCGGACGAGCATGGTGCAAGTTAATGCACGGCGACAGCCTTGAGGCGCATAGCTTTACACTGCTTAGAAAATTAAATGAAGGAAGCAGTGGCAACTGAGCAGCTTTCTCATGGATGTGACGCAGCCGGCAGGCTACGTTAGGCCACACTGAGCTGCCTGGCGAGAATGCCAGCCAAGCAGTTTGCAGGTATCAACTCTCGTAGCATACCTCCAGTCTCACCAAATTATGAAATATTTGAAAATCCTTTTAGTGCGCAGACCCCGTGCTGCGCAGCGTGATTTATCAAAATGTATGACCTCCATGTGCGGAAGTCATGGTTGACAATAAAATTCGAACTTGCAGCTGTGTCTCAGAAGGCCTGAGCCTAGCACACGACATGCTAGAGATCCTTGGAACTGGTGAATGATCCCGGTCATCGTTTCCTGGCTCAAAGCTGCAAATGCTGCTGTGAGCAGTGTGCGCCCGCAAGCTTGGAGTACTCTCAGAGTCTGAATGCTTCCAGCTGCTGTTGGAGGTACATGCGCCATGCCATAAGGCTGTGGGCCTGCAGAAAAGCTGGAAGCTCAATGTGCGCAGAGCTCGTACTTCTGGTAGGATTTCCTATATGAACGTATATCATGCCGTCGAGATGATGTGCACTTACTGGCTGATGCCGACATCAAAGTTATGAGGTGTTTTGAGACCCTCGTGCAATCCATCGCATGAGTCTGGCATGCTTCGTTATATGTAGTTTTCTCAGCCAGTACAGCAACAAGGTAGGTTCGTTTGCAGCCGCCGCTGCCGCAGAATTCCTGGTCAGCCCGGCTGCTTATGCCTGCCCAGTGGTGAATAGAGGGTAGCTTCTCTTGACAACAGTTCTTGGATATTCTTGTTGTTGAGTCTAGGTCAAGTACTATTAGCAGCTAGGGGCAGGGTACCAAGCTTGAGAGTAGCCATATTCTTTCAGGAGCACAAATGGCATGCCAAGACAATCACAACTCAGCATCAGGCCCATAGAGGTCAGCCCTGCAAAAGCATAAGTATGGAATTTTGCTGCGATTTAGGGGTCCGTTATCATTGCAGCTTTGCTTCTGACATGCAGTATCCCCGAGTTAATGAAAGCACAGCAGAGGCTGCATCGAAACGAAAGTTGTCCACGTTTATTTGTGCTAGGCGCGGGACGCAGGGGCAACAAAGGAGATTATATTCCAAACATAACTTTGGCATTGCTATACTGTACTCTGTACTGTCAACCTGTCAATGTACGTCTGTGATATCCTGTGTCAACGGAGCGCCCGGATGTTTGGCATGACGGGCCAGTATGTGGCGGAAGGTGGAAACGCCGTTGCTAGAGCTTTTGATAAGCTCGGGTCATACTACTAAGACAAACTTGCAGTAGGACTGCTTCTCTCAAGGAACCCAATGATTTACATGATTTACTTCCCATGTGTCTTCTTGTGAGCTGTAGCCAGCAGAGAATTGAATATTGCCTTAAGTCACGTGGTAAATCTTTCCAGCTGGGCCATCGGCGATTCAGCAAAATGCGAGCTGCTCCTGAAAGCGGCGCAGCTCAGCTGACGCGGCCTCAGCCGTGGTGGGTGATTGCGAGATATTGCGTTTGTTTGCTGTTGTTGATTCATCAGCCAAGAGCCAAGGCCGCGCCTCTACCACGATGTCAATGCTTTGGTCCCAGCTGTCCATGGACAATGGAGACGCAGCCGCGACAGCGCGAGCCAAGTCGTGCTTGCCACTTCCTGGCAGGTCAACCGAGCACGAGAGTATTGGGACTATGAGAACCTTTCGGTGAATTGGGGGTGCCTGGGATGCATTTGCAAAGGACCCACATCAGATTTGCCTGCTAGAGTCCCAAGTGGTACGGGAATCGTCAGGCGACTCCTGAAATGAATATCTGCGAAGTTTGTATACGAAGCGATGAGTGTCAAGTTTGCAGCCACCTCGTATGGAAGAGTTTGCCTGGAAGTTTTTTTTTCGCATGCAGCATTCACAACGAGTCATCACAATCTCCGTTCGGAGGTTCATAAAGACTTGTTTGCTAGCGTGCAAAGGCAGGTTGCAAACAGTGGGCAGGCAAACAAGAGAGCAAAACCAGAGCCTTCGCCAGAACAACGAAGGGCATAAACACTGGAGCATCATGCTGCATCTCCACACAGTTACTTCTTTCTTGGAGCGTTGATCATTGCACTTTGTTGTATACCACTGCTCACGGCTGCTTGCATGTATACATGTGCACTGAGATCAAGTCATTAGATGTCACTAGTCATTGTGTTTCATCTGTGCAGGGTTAGTCGTGAAAAATGTACCGCAATGCCCTGTTCGATCTTGTTCGGGTTTCTACATGACTGGTGCCAATATCACTCTTTGAAACTTAGCTTGGACCTTAGACCCTCAAACCTTTGGGTTCCTTTATACTCCTATTCTAGGTACCTAAGGGTTAACCCTTAGTAGGGGTCCTAAATGCCACGTAATCTGGTTTCTGGAGCGGTCACTTGGGTGTAGGCTTCACCCCAGGCCGTCAAGCCGCAACCTGAAGCAGCCAGACACAGCATATCTATGTCTATGGATCGTGTGACCATGTGACCATGGATTCTGTGTCACTTCGCTTGGACATGTATTATGTTTTTTTTTTGGCGGATCTTGTTTGGCTCCAAGAGAAGTCTGCGTGGAGACGCCGAGGTGTCAGGATGACTATGAGGTGCTCCGCAAAGTCGGCAGGGGCAAATACAGTGAGGCGACTTGGGCGACCAAGTTATGCCACGAGACCCAGGTGGTTTATGAAGGTGTGGATCAGCATTTGTTACAGTTTGGACAGTTCAAAATGTTGTCATGAGCCCAAGTAAAGGGTCCGCCTCCGCTGCCGGGCTCGCAAAATCCAGGACGACGGAACGGGGCTTGTGGAGCCACGAAGCATGCTGGGCAATGTTGGATGCTGTGGTTCCCTAGGCCCTTCTCCAATGGGCTTCTGATTCGCTACCTTCACTCCCCCTTGGGCCCCTTGAACCAACCTGCTCAGCTTCTTGTTGTTGTTGTTGTTGTGGTTGTTGTTGTTGTTGTTGTTGTTGTTGTTGTTCTTGTTGGATGGGCCAAGCTGCGCCGCCAGCCCATAGATCAGCCCCATGGGAACGTCTTGTGCTAACCCTTGGCAAACGCTCTCTTCCGGGAAAACGAAGCCAAGGCCTGTGCCAACTCATGATCCCGCTTCACAGAAATCAACGTATCATGTAAGATGAGCAAGCCTCTTCGCCGACGACATACACAGCTGCTGATAAGTTCCAAAGTCTGTGACTCGCACCACTGTTAGCCTGAAATGCGATGTTTCTAAAGAGTTCACAGGCTATGCCATGCTTGTGAAACCCTAGGGAGCGTCAAAGGCTTCAGCTTGCAACAGTATCTGTGGCTTTCCAAAGCCCGTGGAGGTCGAGCTATTTAGTACGACGGAGTTGGGCTAGAGGCTCTTCCCTGGCAAAGGCAGTTCTTGAAGCCCGTCCTGGGCATCAATGGTGGTACAGGGTGTAGCTAGCGCCATGGGACGACTCCACGGGATGTCAAGAAATGAGGTACCACGTGACAGGGAAAGACTATGAACGAAAGCGTGTGCCCAAACTCGTCCCCCCCAAAAGCATCTACCTAAAGATTTTTCGTGAACACACTCAAACTTTTCAGAAACCCTTCCATGTGTTTGGGGAAATAGCAAACTCACGGATATTCTGGTCTGCATTCATCGCGGGGACCAGAAGGGCCCAATTATGCGATTGGCGGAACCGACAGCCACCGCCAACAGAAGCAGTTCCAATGATAATCGCTTCTCGCCATTCGTCTCGCCCGGCTCTATGCGCTGTGCCGAGGAAGTAGATAGTGGACATGAATTTTGGGAGGGTTGTGGGGGGCGGCCAGAGATTGGAAGGACGGGTATGAGCAAGTGATTTCCAGGGTATAGGGGTCCTTGAGGGCAATTTTGTTGGTTTAAGGGTCCCTTAAATCAGTTCCCAAGAAATGTTTAGGGTTTAAGGGTCACTTGAAAGGGGCGCATAGGGGGTGTGGACAAGGACGTTTAAGGTATTTGGGGTTTAGGGGTGTGTTTGTTGTTGTGCCAAGCTGTGCTGGGCAGAGGCAATAGCAAACGCCATGTTTCGCTTCCCAGTTGACTTTCTATGGGCGCATGCGGGAAGGGCGCTTTTGAGAAGGCTGTGCCATGGCTGGCTGCGTGTGGTTTTGTCTTAGAATCAGCCGAACCGCATGATATTAGCATTGGCATTCAAAATTGTGAACGTGGCTGCCAATCTGTGTGTCCTCGTGACGTGTATCGCAAGTGTAGCTTCAGCTCGGCATGCCTTTGCACGGGTCCATTTCAGCAGGGCCGCTGTTTTTTCTCGGCCTGGCAGCAATAGTTGGCTTGGCAGAACGAGAGTCCAAACAATCGTTCATAAGACGCCAAGCAAGGATTTTGCATCCCACTCACCCCGCACCTTTTGCTAATTCTTTTTTGCTACATGCTGACGGGTGCGTGTGCGAAGAGCACATTTGTTCATAAAGGTCATGAAACACTACAGGCTTGCGTACAGGGCTGAGCGTCAGAAGCAACAAGCTCAATTGTGCTGGTGATAAGCGCTCTGTCGTTTTTAGCTTGAAGCCTCCGGTGCCGCCACTTTGGTTTCCTATAATGTGGACACCCAAGCCAGATCCACACCACAGGGGGTGGGAGGCCGTGCGGGCCGACACAGGCGATAACTTCTCAAAACTTCCAATGGCAGTACCTTGTTCCTAAAACGGACTTGCAGACGTGCGACCTCTGGGATGTTGCAGATTCGGAATAAAAAAAGGAACTACATGAGGAGGCTCAGGCCACTCAGGATGACCCGTGGGGCTGGGAGGAGGGCGGGTGTCGGCAGAAAAATGCATGACTCCAGCAAAAAGCTGCGTTCACCAGCCAGCTGAGGCTGGGGTCGGCCAGATTATGAGTATGCACTTCACGTATGGCAGAGAATGATGCAGGTGTTTGAAGGCATCCATATGGCTACGCAGGAGAAATGCGTCATCAAGCGAGGGGCACGGTTTCCAAACACAGCATTTCTGTTTGGAACGTTTGGCCATCGTGCATGCAGATTGTTTTTCAGCTTGATCATGGCCCAGGATTCTGAAGCCAGTCAAAAAGAAGAAGATCAAGCGAGAGATAAGGCGTGCTCATACCTGTGACAGTTGTATGAATGACTCTTCATCCTAAGACTAGCCATGCAGGATACTCTTTGTTATGCAGGATCTTGCAGAACCTTTACGGCGGTCCGAACATTGTGCGACTTCTAGATGTTGTCAGAGACCCCCAGTCAAAGACTCCCAGCCTAGTGCCGAGCTCAGAAATCTGATCAAAGTGTGCTTTGAACTTTCGTTCCAACAATGGTTCCTGCAACGGAGACCAGTGCAAGAGGGATGGCAGTCACTGCTCGCGCTGAGATATTCGAGTACATCAACAACACAGACTTCAAGCAACTTTATCCCACCCTCACCGATCACGACATTCGATACTACATCTTTGAGATCCTTCGGGCGCGACAGCCTGCACTACGCTCTTGACGAATGCAGCAGGGACGGTCCTCATCAATGCTGTCAGGCTCTCGACTACTGCCACTCCCAAGGAATCATGCACAGGGACGTTAAGCCGCACAACGCCGCTAGACTGCAGTTCGACTGCGTTCCTCCATCATTCCTGTGCTAGGGCGGCTAGATGCTCACATGTCCAGCAGATGTTTGCTGAATGTATTGCTGAATGCAAGGTCATGATTGACCACGAGAACAGGCAGTGCTGTTGATGTATCACGTGTTCAGTGTCTTTGATCCGGTGTGACGCCATATGAAGCCCTTTCCAGTGACGACCTGCGCAGGAAACTGAGGCTGATCGACTGGGGTCTAGCCGAATTCTACCATCCTAACCGAGAGTACAACGTTCGGGCTTGATGCTGAGATCCAGACCCTAGTCACACCGCAGCAGCGGAATCCAGAACTGGAGAGTTGCTGCTTCAACAAAGGTCGCGTCCCGGTACTACAAGGGTCCAGAACTGCTGGTGCGACTGACTTCCTCCAACCTGAGTGTACGTCCCTTACAAACGGCAGCGGAAGATGCAGGTCGACCTACAGCTCTACGACTACTCTCTGGACATTTGGAGTTTGGGCTGCATGCTCGCTGGCATGGTCCTTCGCCCAAGCTCGAAACACTGTATCCAAAACGGCATTTGCCCTTGCAGGTATTCCGAAAGGAGCCTTTCTTCCATGGCCAGGACAACTATGACCAGCTGGTGAAAATCGCCCGTGTTCTTGGTCTCTTCCCCAAGCACAGCACAGCTTTCTGATGAAGGGTTTTTTTGTCTGCCGTATTCTGCCGTGGCCCAGGTACAGATGGCTTGTTTGCCTATCTGGACAAGTACAATCAGGAGTTGGACCCACACTTTGACCATATCCTGGGCAGGCAGCTGCTGCATAGTAGTGCATAAATAACAACTCCTCACGACATGAATTTAGCTGGCTGGAGATGAGGCACTCGAGAAAAGCCTGGTCCAAGTTCGTGACATCTGAGAACCAGCATCTTGTGAGGCAATGCGCAACTTGAGCTCACCTTGCCTGAATCGAGAGTTGGGCTTGAAGTCTGAATCTCCGATGCCAGTTTGGACGTGCTGGATCTCATAGACAGGATGTTAGTCTATGACCATGTCGGAATCCTGGTTTGCAGTGTCGTGAGATCTGCCGCTGGAGTGTAATCACAGTCTGAGGCTCAGCGGATCTTGCCCAAAGAAGCAATGCAACATCCCTACTTCGCGCAGATTCGGGTGCCTCTCCTACCCTGCCTCAGAAGCTAGAATTCCGATGCGTGGGTTGGCGTGGTGAAGCCAGGAGTCCAGCCCGAAGGCTGCAGCAGCTGCGTCTGAGATGCCAAAGGCGTAGGTCATTGAGGTCTGGGTCTTTCGGCCGTGTAGCTTGCTGAAGGCTTAGAGCCAGTCAAGAGTCAAGAGCGGTTTGCATGAACTTTGGCTTGAGGCTGCACCGGAAAAGACTTTCAAGAACTCCACCTCATTAGCATAAACTGCAGCAGTGGAAGGTGCATAGCGCGCCACCCAAACGCCTTTTTCTCGTTGGCTCTACAGAGCTCATTGCACACGTGTCATGACAAATGCTGAGCTTCAACCAGGCTGTCAAAGGATGTTTTTGTTTCGACCCATCTTCATCATATGCATCACTTATGCATCCAAACGTCTTTACTTCAACCTAACAGCGTTTTCATTCTGTGAACGTCGACACAAGCCGGCTTAAACATCTTTGCTCTGTGAGCTGGGGCGTTTTGCCGAGCGGCAGGGCAAGGCGGCAAGGCTGGTGGCATTGTTCTGTGATCGCTTCACGTGATCTGACCGAATGAACCTGGCAGGTGTCCGGGCATGAAAGCTTTATGCAAGCCGCTTCGGTGCTTGTCTTTTTTGGGAGGGCGAAAACCGCCAGATCAGCGCCGGCCCCATCAGCAGTCAAACTTCTGAAGGCGCACATCAAATTTGCTTGATCAAATTTTGCAAACGTGGCCAGGTACAGCGCTGCTGAAGGGCAACACCTGTCTAAAGCGGCTGACGATGATGAGGATGAGGTGCAAATTGCAGAGATTTCGTGATCGCATATCAAATTCTGTTCCGAATGAGGATGATTTCTTTGGAGATTCCTGGGGCGAGGGAGGCGCAAGCGGTTCCAGCGCATCTCAGACAAAGGAGGCACCTGACTGACACCAGTGATCACAGTGGAGGTGGAAGAGCTGCTAGGAAATGCCATTCAAGTCAGCAGGTCGTAGCACAATGGAATAGGCCAGCGAGTTTTTCGGGAGAGTCGCAAAACATGAGCCTTTGCAACATCAGCTGCTTATCATCACTTCTCCAACAAAGCTGACCCAGAGGCTCTTATCAGTTCTTATCAGTTACATGCAGGCCAGAGGCACGCAGCACATCAACCCACAAGGCTTAAGGATCAGACGCAGGAATCGGGCACCGCATCAGATAGTTGCCGCGCCCGAGACGACAGACCCAGCCGGGCTCCTGATCAGATGTGGGGGAGGGGTGCAGGTGCGCAAAGCATAGCAGAAAAGCATAGAAAAGCAAGATCCCCAAAGCACAGTACGACGCCACATCCGGTGGTTAATGAATGCGGCTTTTCTCATCGTTACCTGCGCCTGCCGGGGACCGGACCTGAACCCGGGAAGAAGGTGCCGAGTTTGCCAAGCACAAAAAACCCAACTGCACTTTTAAACGCCTCCTCAGATTCGAGCTCTGGAATGAAACTGGAAGAGAGAATATCAGTCAGCTGATTGTGTAGGTCCTTCAGGACATTTTTGGGCATGGTGATCTGCGTGCCGATGTAATCATTGTGTGTCTGATCTCATCCCACCCCGGAACGCGATCCGTGGGCATGAAGATGCCCACCGTCTTTCCTGCAACAACTTTGACGTCAGCTCAGCTCTAAACATTCCAAAACCTGGTTGCAGCAAGAAGTATCAAGTCAATCTTGGTTCCAACATTGCAGGCTGAGGCGCAGCGGAGTGGGGCTCTCCTGTCATGTCTTTCAGTCATTAACAGCCCAAGCAAAGTGTGAACAGCGCCAACGGCAGCATGTTAGGTGGAGCGCAATCCGACCCGGGAGACGACGACCAAACGGCCAGCTCCAGGTCCCTTGCCCGATTTTTTCCATGTCCGTGCGTTAGGAAACGTTTCGATCAGGTGTTGCCTCGCAAGCGCCCAAGCTGGCTGCCAAGAAGCAGGCCACGGACTCATCGAGGTGAAAGACAGTGCAGGTGCGTTTTGTTGTGAGGAAGCGGACTTCTTCAACGAGTTGGGTATGGAACCAGAGTACAGGGCACCAAGGCCGGGGAACAGACGTTGCAAAAGCGCTTCGTTTCCGCTTCGTTTCGTTTTGGTGCCTCCGAGGGTTCTGGAGAAGGAGCACCCGAAGGGCTCATCCGTGAGTTCTTTGTTGGACGAGCCTGCAGAGGTGTCATAATTTTCTCCATACGACCATAAATGCTATCCGTGCTTGCTCGCCTTGTCAGGTCTCATCTGCTGCTTGGGGTGATGATTTGGATCTCCCTCTAAGATGAAGTTGCTTATGTGCACGCTTCACACCACTCGTAGGATGCGCAGAAAAGTCGGTCTTTTGGCTACTGGGTAGGAGGTTGCAGGCTCACAGCATGGTTCCTCGGTGTTCTGAGCATCTGAGAGCAGGGATTTGGATCGATGGATACGGGCTGTGCAGATTATTTGCTTGGGTTAAATTGCGCTGCCCCTACAGGTCTTGGACACTTTGGACTGTAGGAATCCTCGAAAGCTGCAGGTTCCCTGTTCTTGCAATTGAACTGTTCATGTTTCTCACCGCGGCGAAAGCTTTTCCCGTCCCGTGTAGATCTGGCCAAAACCTTCAACAACATAGTATTTGAGAGAAGTGCCCTGAGCAGTGCATAGGTTGTATGTAGCAGCGATGGAGTGGAAGTGTGAAGGACTTGGAGGGATGCACAGCTGGAAGCGTAGGTTGGCGAGGAACAGTGATGTCAACGCACATAAAGCCGGTTGGCTATGTTGAGATCTGCAGTTGTCCCAGAAGCATCCGAGCTTGTATTAGCATGTTGAGTCTGGCAGGCTTGGGTGCATGCAAATCATTTTCAAAGGTTCATGCTGCTGCTATTTCGGGTCAAGCTGAGCTGTGAGCCAAACTGGAGTCGACCTGTGCTTAATCTGTGAAGGTTAGTGCAGGGGTGAACCTTGCGGATTCTGCAAGGAGGTGATCCTTGCTGGTTTCCACTAAGGTAGCGACCCTTGAGTTTGTATGGAGAATGCTTTCGCAGCTGGTGCAGCGATGCGCACTCATGCAGACGTGCTTTCACCTGCAGCTTACCAAGAGTTCGCTACCGAAGTTGGGCGTCGTTGGAGCCATGGCGAACAAGCGGCAGCCCGTGGGTCTTTGGGCATCAGTGGTTGAAATCCAACACGCACCACCTGTGGAGGACCGGGTCCCAGAGCTACCAGGCGTTTTGACTGCAGTGCGAGTTGTACCGTGCAAATAGCCCTTGTCGTCAGTCCGAGCTCAGTGCCGACCCTCGCAAACTGGTCCTGTGCTCTCCATTCCGCCCAGCCGATTATAACGCGGTTGCGATGAGCTTCTTGACGAGTAGCCAGCTCCAAGAAGCCCAAGAGAGTGACTTTTGGGAAGAGTGAGAGGAGGCCCTCGCTTGCGTGGTGGTGTTCTGGCACGAAGAGAAGGCAGAGCCTGCCTATCAAATCTACACGGGCCGGCTGTTCGGGCTGCCTTTGGCAGTTACTTCTCTCAACCGCTACAGCCGGTTTGTCGACGCTGCAGGGAGGAGGCTGGTTTGGGCCCTCATCTCGGCATATTTCCGTGATTCCCGCATTTCGGACTGGGCTTCCTCTCAAGGATCCGGCCAATGGGCATTCCGCGTCCTCAACACCCTTCTGGGGATACCTTTCTCAGATGGCAAAAGGCTGCAAATGGCAGCTTGGAACTTTCTTGGAGCTGGATTTTGACTAGCAACTGCCCTTATTCAAGGGACACTCACGTTCTTTGTTTGGGAGCGGCTGGTGCAGAAGGTCCAGGACATGGTCAAGAGCATCACACAATCCCGAGCGTTGCGCTCAGGCAACGCTTCCAAACTCTATGGCATGCTTAACTTCTTGGAGTCGGGCATGTTTGGCCGGGCTGGCGCAGGAGTGTTGCAGGCCATCAAAAACTGCCAGCTACAGCGTGGTGAGCACTTGACACCGGAGTTGGAGGAGAGCTTGAACGTCATCCAAGCAATGCTCGCGACCAAACCCTAGAGGAAATCCGAGTTGTGGTGGCAAGTTTGCAACAGATTGTTGGCAGCGAACGACGCGGCCGAAGAGGAGTCAGGGAAGGGCTCTGGTGGCTTCCACTTGATTTTCCTAGATGCCCAGCAGGTGCGGCAAAGCTTTGTTGTTGTCATCGGCCATATGTCTACTGCCAGTTTCAAGCAGGCGATCACCATGTAACGCAGCTGGAACACGCCATGATCCTTTATGGCCTTGTCTCCTGACCATCTGCTTTCAGAAGCCGCCGTGGTATATGGCTTGTCGACTACACAGCACCCTCTCAAAGGCAGGTCTTTTTCGTTGGACCTTGAGCTGTGAGTAGGTCATTCGCCTGTGCCTCTTCGGGCTCAATTGATCTCTCTATTCAGAGTGGATACCTTCAAAATGGAGTTGGGCTGACGATATCTCCCGATTAGGATGGGCAGACCCATGGCCTCGGACCAACGGATTTGACATTTTTCCAGCATCTTTCCTGCATCTGCTCTGGTCGCTTCCGGTCCCTGCGATCATCAGAGTCGTGCAGTTCTTGCAATGCATTGGGAGTGAGTGTTTTGGGGGAATCCCACTTGGCGTGGATGCTGCCCAGGAGCCATCATACCTGCGTGTCCGGGGATCCTGTGGAAGCAGGGTGTGGTTATTTCGGTGACAGGGACCCAATGCATTATCGTAAGGCATAAAGTTGGACTGTACAGCAACTGCTGTTTGGTGGAAAGGGAAAGAAGAGCCTGAGTGAGTGCAGTCTAGGGAGTAGAGTGCGGTGAGCCTTGGAATATGGATTCAAAGGTTGAGGCAAGCCTAGCTTTCGCCATCCGGAATCTACAGGGCTGGAGTATGACCAGAACCGGGCATGCACGCTGCACGCTTCAGATCATGGTTCACTTCAGCGGACAGTGTAAAAGCATCACCATCGCATTGCCGCATGACAAGATCGAAATTCATGTTGCCACCGTCAAGGGTTAGCATGTTGACGCAACAAGAAATTCGCCATCATCTAGATGCCCAAGCAGCTGGTACCCACCTGCAGCCACTTGCGACGCAGCCTCACCTTCAGCAAAACTCCGTCGTAGCCTCACCTCCAGCAAAACCCAGGACAGGTTCGTTTGTGCAGATAATTGCTACGATGAAGTAATGCGCGAAGTATTCCACAGCCATGATTTGGAGACTGGCGCTCGGCAGACGAGCTCTGCAGGACTGGAGCGGTATTCCGTCTCTGCAACCGAAAGAGGGTCCTTTGAGCAAGGTGTGCTTTTACGTTGATCTGTAGGTTTGTCTGCTGTTGGCCTGGTTTCTATACGTTGACGGGGCAACCTGCCCACTCGCAGGCCTCGGTGGCTGTCAGTACTTTCTGTCATTGTCCCGCATGGAAGAGGTTCACGTGCATCTCCAGCGAACATCTCGCCGCAGAATGTGGAGGCCTAAGAAGCTGTAATCCCCCTGAGAAAGATGCACAACAGATGATGACGCATGATGACGATGATGACGCATGATGACAAATACTTCAACAGGGCAAGCGCAGATGCAGAGAACTCGCGATAGGACAAACCTAACTTTTCCAAGCAAGGTCAGACACATGCGCGACCATAAATTATAGATGTGCATTTTGATGGTAGAGGCGTCTCTCTTGACTTCTCCCGAAGGTCGCTTCTCAGAGTGATCCCTTGCGACTTCTCCTATTTTGTGAACTATCAGCGTTTGTGGACCTGGAAAATCCCTAAATTCTTGCTGAGAATCGTTGAAACCGAAGCCCATAGCCCTAAGCCCAACAAACCAACCCAAACCTTAGCCCTGCAAACCCTCAGCCATCAACCCGAATCCAATCCTTAAATCCTGGCCCTAAACCTTAAATCCTGACCACAACGCCAAGAATAACAAGACCAACAAATCCTACCCTATGCCTAAACCACAACCAGGCCTGGAAGAGTATGCTGAGAACGCGAAAGGAGAAGACAAAGTATCAAACTCAGGGACGTGCACGTACACGACGGCCGACCCACCACGACGACCCAATGACGACGGTAACGACAAAAAATGAAGAGGACCCATTTTGACCTGGAATCCCACAAGCATGACGCCCACCAAGCGACCGACGCTTCCAAATAAGCCTGTGAGCCCAAACCCTAAACCACAACCCGGCCTCGCAAACCGTTTGGAGGAGGGCTAAAGCGTTTCCAAACTGAAGCAAGGCGTGGCAAAACATGATGAAGTTTGCTGGGGAGGAGGAAGCAACCCCGAGGAGTTCCCGACAGCCTGTTGAAGCCCAAAACTCCAAAACCGACCGAGAAAACACCCACCACCAACAGAGAAAGCGACACCAGAAGCTTGTTTGGGACCCAGGGACTCGGTGTGAGCCTCAACAACTACCACATCCCTTGATGGTTTGCAAGTGGGGGCTGGCAACATGAGCCTGTATCATATCTAATAGTGATCCTCATCAAAATTCGAGAAAGCTTTGCAAACGAGGGGCTGCCATGCCCTTTCCCAACCCTCCGCCTTGAAACATGAGCCGGTATCATTTCTAACAGTGGCTCCTAATTACCAATTGCCGCATGTTTCACTGGTTACTGCTTGGCAAATTGGGGGGTTGTCCCTCTTCACCAGTGAATCCTTATCGACAAGCTTCCACATTCTTTAATGGTGCGCAAATTGCGTGCGCTGCGGCCCCCCCCACTCCCTCGTCCTCAATGCTTTGCGAATGGGGGAGGGCTTTGCCCTCCCCAATTCCCCTGCAAAACACATGAGCTCGTATCATGTCTAATGTGAATCCCTATCTACAATTGCCAATGTGTTCAATGGTTTGCAAGTGTGCGGGCTACGACTACTTGAGCCTGCATCATGTTAAATGTGAATCCTCATCAGGAAATTACCACATTGCTCAATGGTGCAATTGCCCAATGGTCCAATTTTTTGGGTGGTGGCGGGTTAAGGTTACATGAGCATGTTTTGTGTCGGACGGTGAGTCGGGCTGCGTCACCCCAACGCCCCCGCTGTTTTTAATCAAGAGCCCGTATCCTTTGTAATAGCGAATCCTGATCAAGAACTGCCAGATTTGTTTATGCTTTGCAAGCGTGGGGCTGCGCCCCCCAACCTGCCTGCTTTTAAACATGAGCCCTGAAACATGTCTAGTAGTGAATCCTCTTCAAGAAACTGCCACATTGCCACATCTTTGAACGCTTTGTGAATTTGGGGATCGCGCCCTGCCCCACCCGATCAATAATTGCCACATCTTTCAACGGTTTGCAAATGGGAGGCTGCTTCCTCCAACCCCCCATTCTTTCTGAACACGATCCTGTATTGTGTTGAATAGTGATTCCTCATCAACAAGCTGGCACATTCTTTATGTTTTGCAAATGGCGGGGCTGCCCCCCCCGGCGCCTTTGAATCATGGACCCGAATCATGTCTTTGCACCCGGGAAAAGGGCTGCACCCCCCTCAACCCTGGGCTCTTTTAAAACATAACATAACCTCGTAGTATGTTTTAAAAGATTGAGCCCGCATCATAATGTCTCAGAATGAATCCTATCCTATCTAGCCACTGCCTTTTTTCAATGGTGCAAACCTGCAAAGCGTTGCAGGCAACTGTCAGCAATTCCTGCCTTGCCGTGCGTCGGAGGCAGCTGCTACACTTCCATCATGGTGTGCAAACACACATGTTTTTGCGTCGGATGCAACTGTCACGCATTTCGCACCTGTTATCTGTCCAAACATAATGTAACACGCACATGTCAATTCGTCGGATGCAGCTGCCAATCGAGCCTGTCACATGACCAAGCATACTGCAACAAGGCACATGTGAATGCGTCGGATGCATTTGTCACGCATTTTCTGTCTGTTACTCGTCCAAGCATACTGCACACAGGCATACACCTTCCTCGCCCTTGAAACAAAAATCATCCAAACAACAAAAATTCTACCAAATAATTGTAGGCACATTTGCAGGCACACACAGTTGGGCGTCCCCAAGTGCTTCCACTGATTTGCCATAGCTTCGTTGGACAGGATTGGTCAGCTCCCTTCCCCGTGCTGTTTCCAGATGCAATCACAGCCTTACGTATCCTAAAGCAGATCAGGTGTGGCGCGCACACACACACACAAAGACGTACTTTCTTCACATTCTCCGTGTACAGACTCAGGCAGAGCCAGAAAGCGGTTCCGTTCTGATGTTGTACAAGGCCTCAGGCGGACGGGTCGGTAGCACTCTGTGCTGTTGAAATCGTGCAGGCATGGAATGTCAGCAGCCTCTCTGTGGAGCCGGTGGAAGAGGAGATTTTTGAAGCTTGATCAAACCTGAGCTTCCGCACTACATGCTTTGCAGGACACGGGTAGTTTAACGCTGATCTTTGACGGGCCGGAGGGCGGCGGCTCCCTGCAGGCACCTGTGTCCTCCCCTGGTCATTAACATAGCTCCAGCCTCAAAGGCCGGTGAGAGTTTTTCCGACATGGACGAGTCAGTAGCTCAGCCACGTGCTATGTGTTTTCCATCTACATCTGCGACTGTCATCTCGTTCGCCCTGTTCATCCTTTCTTTGGTTGTCTAACTTGTGCGAGTGCACGGAAGTTTGAGTGTTCAGATACGTGCTGCGTCGGATTCGCCTCTCTCTGCCAAGTGAGTCGTCATCTCAGCAGAATACTACCGTTGAAGCTTGTCATATTGTTTGCTTTCTATCCAGTTCCGCTGCCAGGCATACGCTGCTCAACCGACGCTTGCCATTGGAGGCTCGATCACAGCTGCTTTCTGTCCAGGATTGATTTTGTGTCGTTCGGGAGCCAAGTGCCAGCCTTGACAACCGCTTGCCAAGACCACTTCTTGCTTTGCAAGGTGCAGTTCTGGCATGAACCGGCTGTTCATCGAGACATCAGCAGGCTGATCATGGAGAGATCCAAGGCCGTGCGACAATTCTCGGAAAACTGGTAGAGCCTATTCGAGGATTGCGAAACAAGCAAATTCACTTGGTTCATTTGCTGCGACTCTGGGTGATGAGTCTTTGTGCTTCACGTATTCATCTTACAGTAGCTTTGCTCAGGCGTGTGGCCATGTCACATTGGATGTTAAACGCCGCCAGCATTCAACGACATATTAGGTGGAGGATTGATGTGGAAATCCAACTGAACCGTTTATGAACAAGATCTGCAGATAAGCTCATGGCAAATGGACCGTTTTCAGCCATTTTGAAGCTCATGGATCTTGAGAGGGCACACATCCGCATGCTGAAGATGAAGTTGACAGTAGCTCCACTACAAATAGCTCACATGTGTTTTATTTTGCTATGAGCATCTTGTACATGTCAGTAGGATTGAGTGAATTCCGCTAATTGACATTGACATCATCGACTGGGAGAAACACGCACCGGCTACATCCAAAGCTGAAATTTCAAATGTGACGAGGCAAGCTTCTGCCTAATACAGATCACGTAAGCCTGGTGCTTCTCGACTTCTGTTTACATCCACATCATGGACTGCCCGGTTCATTGCCAGTTAGTGGACAAAGGAGGATGTTTCGCGCTTGAAGCCCAGTGTGCTCTGACGTTGCTGAGAGCCATGGACCATGAATTTCTCTGACCGGTCAAACGCGAATGCATGAAGAAGTCCCCACAGATCCATATGCTTCATAAGTTGTGGACACGATGTCTTTCGAGGCATCTCATGCTCGTGCAGACAACATCAACTACTGGCAATCCGATCACACAGTATATGCAGCAGATGAAAGTATGCTGTTGCGATAGCTGGAGAGCAAGTAGCATTGCCTTTGGCCGGTCATTTGACTGCGAACTCCAGCTAACATCCTGGCTTTGCCTTTGACACTCCATTCATCTTATGGCAAGGTGAGAAGGGGGGTGGCTTTAACGTATGTCTCTACCTGGCTTTCCCACTGTCACTCCATTCATCTTATGGCAAGGTGAAAAAGGGGGTGGTTTTAACATATGTCTCTACCTGGTTTTGCCTTTGTCACTCCATTCATCTTATCGCAAGGGGAAAAACGGGTGGTGATTTTAACATATGTCTCTGCCTTGTTTTGCCTTTGTCAGCCATCTTCTGGCAAGGAGAGGGGGTGGGTTTAACGTATGTCTCCACCTGGCTTTGCCTTTGTCACTCCATTCATCTTATCGCAAGGTGAAAAAGGGGGGTGACTTTAACATGTGTCTCTACCTGGCTTTGCCTTTGTCACTCCATTCATCTTATCATAGGGTGCAAAATAGTATCTGAATCGGTCGAACTGTTGCTGAATCGCAGTTTCTGAANNNCGAAATAGTTTCTGAATCGGGCGAATGAGTTTCTGAATCGTAGTTTCTGAATCGGGCGAAATGGTTTCTGAACCGTATTTTCTGAATCGGGCGAAATAGTTTCTGAATCGTAGTTTCTGAATCGGCCTAGTTTCTCTAATCGGTGCAAATAGTTTTCTGAATCGGTCCAAATAGTTTCTGAATCGTATTTTCAGAATCCGTCCAAATAGTTTCTGAATCGTAGTTTCTGAATCGCGGATAGTTTCTGAATCCGTTTTCAATCAGTTTTCTGGGGAGCTGACCAAGAGGTAAGAGTTAGGGCAAAAGGACAATTGTGTAGACTCCCCGATGAAAAAGCTTGTGCTGTATTGAAATTCGATCCAGTGGTGTGGAGTAGTAAATGGACATGTACGCCCACCTTTGCAATGAACTTACCATTTTTGATGAGGAGGGGTTTATGGGTTCCGCCGTATTGTAGCCTCAAAGGTCAATAAATTCATTTGACAAAACTAGACCAAGTACATATTGCTGGGTCACATTTCCTCCCAGATTCTCAGAAGGTTGGCAGCCCCTCAATTCACTGCGGAGAAAACTCCACTTTTGCAATTTGAACTTTTCCTTGCAAGCAACCCAGCAATTAGATCCGCCTAGGCAGCATGTTGAAAACCAGGTGTGGATATGGTCGCTTTATTGCTTTTGAAGGCGTCAAGTTTGCTGCATATGGAGCGATGTGCTTTTGCAGGTGCAGCAGATGTTGCAGAGGTAGCCGGCCACGTCTGCAAGTCATGCGGCATTTAGCCGGGTAAGCTGCCAGGTTCCACGGCCTCATACATGACTGGCAGTTCCAGTTGAAGCGGCTAGAGGCACGTACGAGATTTACGTATGTGGTCTGTGCTTTCAGACCAGGTTCCTGCCCTGCAGGATCCGTCTTCAAAGAACGCTTCTTTCCCGAACTTGCAAACAGAACGGGACTGGGCAGCGCTCTCAGCCGGAGCATTTCTCGTTTGAACCTCTAGAGTGCTTGGAATCAGGCCGAGGCTGTGCGCCGCGATAGCATTCAGGAGCTGACTGCTGGGACCTTGCCAGTCTGCTGGCATGTTAGTGTTGCTTCGACCAGGATGGCCAGTCTCTGATGGACCACGTAAGTGATCTGCATCGTCAGTTCAGAGCCTCAGGGGCTCTTTCGACTGCTCATTACACCTTCACAAAACTTCTGAAGCTGAACTACCGACGAGGATTGCCAGGATTGATGAACAAGTCGAGCTGTTGAATGAAAGGCCTTCTCCCCCGGCTTGTGGCATGACAATCACATTCACACTTTGCTCGGGCTCCAGGCTGCATCGGCCGCAGTCAGCCCGCATGGTCGCGCTTTCGCTTCTGTATTCTGCCCCACATGATGCAGCGAAGCTGGCAAGTTGATGCAGTTGATCACTTTGGTGCTTGCAGCTAGTACTTCGTGGGCAGCTAATGGGTGCCATGACACATGAACTAAACAACTGGAGTGCCGGCCTGCACTTCACGTGCAGGGCACAGGTTCTTGGAACAGCCTGTTGAGGCAGCTCCATGAGTTCGCAACTTTCCAGAAGTTTTTGGTTCCGATTCTTGCTGAGTTTTGATCTTTACGGCAAAGAGCTTTGACGTAAATGTGGACGGGACTCTCTGCACCATCGCCGAATGCGGTTTACAAGCATGTGGTGTCAACGACATGCATCCTGCATGCACATATACCACACAAGATCAGCAGAAGGGAAAGCGTCACAAGCAAGGGAAATCTCTTGTTGCAAAAGCTGCGACCGAAACTTTTCAAAGTTTTGGTGCTGCAGAAGGGTGGTGTGCATGCCTCGGGTTGATCTGAGAGCTTGCATGAATTAATGAAGATCTCAGCGTGCTACCTGACCTCATGTCTGTGAGCTCACCGAAATGTGCGTGTGAAGAAGCGTGCAGTCGCTTGATTTTATCGTGCATGCTCCTGAGCAAGCGTAGGCACTACGTCATCATGGCATGATTTGTCCATCACAAATATCCTCGCAATCTGCTTTGCCTCTCTTTCATCATGATCAATGATCACCTTCATGATAATCGACACGTCAACTCTCATAACCAGCGTCGTGGTGAAGCAGAGTCCGCAGAGAGGCAACCATCAGATTTACTATCAGGCTCCAGGTGCGCCCAAACTCTTTCGCATCTAGAATGTAGCAGGGTGAGACAATAGATGTTTACGTAATGGAGCGTGGACGTTCTAACGTTGAAATACGTAGCTGCTGCCCGTTCCTTAGGAGCGCGGTCTTGAAAGTGCATGAGGGACGCTCCAGGGCCAGGCAAGGGCAAGGGGCTAGGCGCTTTTTTCAGACCTGCTCCTTCTGAGCTCTTTCTTTACGCCAGTTTTTGTGGCAAATGGTTTAGCTTCGAATTTGGCACAGTATGGCGACACTCTGGGCTGCTGATGCGGGCAACCTCATGTGCGGTTTCTTGGGTTGTTGTTCCGTTATGCGTCCAAAAGCTTGGCCAGGTGCTGGCAGCAGCATCAGGTCGATTCTTGCGCTGGTTGACAGCTGCTGTGAAGCACAAGAAGGCAGGAATTTCGAGCAAATATTTGCAGGTCCAGCCAACTCTCGCTCAAGGAAAAAAAGAAGCCTGAAAGTGGAAACAAGGCAGTTGGGCGTTCAGAGTTCGCTGCTTCTATTCTGTTGTATCCCAGTTGTCGCAAATGATGCGAGAATTGGAATGTGAAAATTAAGCAGACTACAGTCACTACTGCAGTGTGGACAGACCGGTGTTGGGTCGATTGGCGAGGGGGCACGGGCGGGCACGAAGCTACTTGTACTGTACCAGTGACATGGGAAGAGAGGACCGATCATCCACAACCGGATGAGCAGCTTGCTGAATTGCTAAGTTTCATGCCCTTCTTGGCGGTGCCCTCCAAACCAAGTAGTCGGGAAGCAGAAACTTGAGACAGCGACGAATGGGTATGCCGAATGTTCGATTTGGATATCTGAATGTGGCATCCTGCAAATCCTGCATCTGGTTTAAATGCCATCGACTCAGCGAAGTGGTGGCCCCAAGTTGGGCCCCGTCCACTTCGTCCCAAAGTCTGCTCAGTTGTGGATGGCAAAACGGAGTGGGCCACATTCAGGCCACCAGAGGTCACAGCCATCCATTCAAGTCACTTTCTCACATCTGCTGACAGTGTTGAGTTTGATCATAGAAAGCACACGCAGAGAATTGTGCAAAGGATGTTACCTGCACATTCATAGAGTTGTGTCACCTAGTGAACGATGCCGGAGCTGCCGCGGCGAATTGTCCTTTCAAGATGAGCTGTGAGCTTTCGAGCTGTCAGTAGCTTGAGACAAAATGGCACACGAGATGCAGGATGCCACATTCTGATATCCAAATCGAACATTCGGGATTTCTTTTTGTCCCAAGATTCTGTTAGAGAAAAGATGCAAAGCGAGGTAGCGCTCGCTGTCTCAAGTTCACTTCGTTTTAATTCCGATATTCGGCCTTTGCGGTTCCGATATTCACTTCCCGGGTTCACACGTACGGTTCCGATATTTACCTTTTCGGTTTGAGGCATTCCTGGCTCCAGCAAAAACTGTAAGTGATGGACAGGGTCAGAGGATGTTTTGGGATCGAGTGCAGCTAAGGCCTTGAAAGCGCAAGTGCAGCAGCTTCAGCAGCGCTTACACGAAATGCTGCTTGACGATGTTGGCAAACTTCTTGCATTTTCACATTCCGCAAGAGGAGAGGCCTTTCCTAGAAAGAAGAAGTTCATTGTTGCCTGATCTTGCGGAGGCAAGCCGAACAAAACGTCCACTTAGAAGGCGTGACAGGAGATGTTGTACAGTTGTATTTGATAGCTATGATTCTGAACGTGGATTCCTGTGGTAAAAATGATTTCGAGCTGCGCAATCGTCAAGCTAGGCACAGCTGCTGAGCGCCGGGTGCAGAGCCAACGCCTCACTGATCCCCTTGGGCGTGAAGTTCCGGATTTCTCTGATTTTCTATGACCTGCCATGGTGGAGGTGTTGAAGTGGATGGGGAAGATCAAGCTCAGGCAAGTAGACTCAACTGTTCTTGGCAATGCACGGTGACATTTTTGAGACTCATGTTCTGCCAGACCGTGCGTCAGTCCGTGCAACTTTCTATGCATGCAGGGAACGGGCCATGTCCACTTGTTTCAAGTCTGGCTGAGGCAGTTAGTTTTTGAGAGTGAAAACGCATGAGGGGCCCCATGTTTTGCAGTCAAAAACCCACTCTCAAGTGATTTTGTAGGGTAAGCAGAACGAAAGCAAGGATTATCATCCATCATACAAAAATACTACGGTATGCATGGTATAGTCATGCAACATCATGCTCTGATGCAGTTTATTGATAGTCACTCACATATGCTTGACGGGTGGTCCTACATCAATAATCACATACTTGAACTGTAACACTTGAACGGTACCGATGCCTGGCATGTTGACATATTTGTATGTAGGTTGCGGAGTATGCATTGCTCATTCTATGTTCTTAATCATCTGTGGATGACGCATGGGGAGATAGCTATGCAAAAGATGTAACCTTATGTTCTGACTTAGCATGTTGCGCTGTATGCAACATATTTAGAACATCGTAATGTTTATATGCTGAAAAATAAGTGGAGCATACTGTATCTAAGTATCTATCATGTAATCAAATTTATTTTCCCATGCGTAATTACATTCATATGAAACTTCTTAGACCATGGGAAGTCATGTTTCGTGATATGTGAAATGTGGCTTCTCCAATAGCAAGCTGCTCTGGTTTCTCTGGCAGATAATAGATCTTTTATGCCTTTTGCATACGCGTGATGACATGCCTGCATTTACGCAACATGGGGTGAGGTTGCCTGCTTCCAACGTGTAGACAGAATGTGGCCAAGCCATTTTTGCATTTTCCGAGCTAACGTGAGACGTAGTATCTTATATGGCATCACTGCACACCATATATATATATATATACGTCCACATAGTTCTTCTATGTGAACTTGTAAATAAAAACCTGGCAATTTCCGGCCGAAAACAAGTCCTGTTTCCTATGTATATGGATGTGCAATACAATATTTTCACTGCTGCCTGCTATATACTGGTGATGGATCATCGAGAAAAAATGACAAATATATGTTGGATAGGCTATTTAAAGGACTTCTACGCTGTGCAGTAGACCCAGCCCTGGAATTCAAATCACACTTGCCAAGTACAGCCTCTGGCTGTGTAATTTTGGTCGACCTGATCACTTTGGTGCTTGCACTTTCCAAAAGTGAGTACCTGTTGTGGTGGGTCTAATCGTTGTTGCTCTAAGTTGCCAAAAGCCTTTCAAATAACTCTTCAAAGGCTTTATGCAGGATTCCTGGCTGCCACAGCTTTTCTTCCATTTTGGGGGGTAGGATGTGAGCTTATGGATTGCCCCAAAATTTCCTAGCAGAGTGGATTTTCCATTGCTCACCATCCACCAAGCTTTAGTGCACAAATTAGCAAACAACAACGCAATGGCATACAATCCAAGAGTTCTATGCGTTTTATGTTATATACAATAGAAGCCTCCAATATCAAGACATGTATGCTAGCATCATTTCATACTCATGAACATGCGTGTGTTGTGCATTGTTTTATGCATGAGAGACAGACAATAGTCTCAGTCCGTTTTGTCAGAATTGGAACATGTGAACAAAGGCTTGAACATGATCTGCATAGGGATATGCATCTTATACTTTATTTCAGCAGGCATTTCCCTCATATTTGCGGACCATAGTCAAACCAGTTTGTTGTGTCCTGGGCTCCAAAGAATATTTAAACTGGGAAGTGGGGGGGGGGGGCGG